AAAGCCTCAAATGGCCCTTAGAAGACCTCAAGGGGCCCTCAGAAGGCCTTAAAGAGCGTCAAAAGGCCTTGAGCTAGCGTCAGAGGCCCCCCCCCAGCTAATGTCAGAGGGCCCTGAGCTAGCGTCAAACTTAAAGTGCCCTTAGCTGGTGTCAGAGGGCCCCAGTTGGTGTCAGAGGGGATCATCCATTGGCGTCTAATGGCCATCAGAAGGCCCAAAAACGATCCTCAGCTGGCGTCCAACGGTCCTCAGCTGACGTCAAGAGGCCCTCAAAAGGCCTCAAAGGCCCCTCGACTGCTCAAAGGGCCCTTAGAAGGCCTCAATGGGAACTCAAGAGACGTTAAACGGCCCTCAAAAGGCTTGAAAGGGCCCTCTGCTGATGGCAAAGGGCTCGCACCTGAGTCAATAAGAGCCTTGTCAAAAAACGGACCTGAGAAACCTTGCCGGCCCTGGTTATCTGCGGGACTCCTACACTTACCTGAGTGGCCCCCGTTTACTGAGGGGCCCTGGTTATTGATGGGGTCCCTGGTTACTTGAGGGGCGCCTGGTTACCAGAGGGGCCCATGGTCACCTGGTGGGCCCCTGATCAATTGAAAACCCCTGGTCATCTGAAGCGCCCCTGATTACCTAAAGGGTCCCTAATCACTTGGATTCAGTGACATAGCAAGGGAGCGAGGGGGTACGTGCCCGTTCTCGGGTTTAGGGTTCCTTCGAAACCGAGGGTCCCTGCGGCGCCAGTTGGTAGCAGAGGGTTCGCGCTGGCCGCACTTCAACTCGGAAGGAAGTTGGCCCATGGTCACCTGGTGGGCCCCTGATCAATTGAAAACCCCTGGTCATCTGAAGCGCCCCTGATTACCTAAAGGGTCCCTAATCACTTGGATTCAGTGACATAGCAAGGGAGCGAGGGGGTACGTGCCCGTTCTCGGGTTTAGGGTTCCTTCGAAACCGAGGGTCCCTGCGGCGCCAGTTGGTAGCAGAGGGTTCGCGCTGGCCGCACTTCAACTCGGAAGGACACCACAGGGCCAGGGCTTGTGGGGGGACGTTATTGGCTCCTATGTAGCCACAATTATCTTCATAAAGGCCCAATACCGGTTTCTGAGAGACCTCGCCGGCCGCTCAGGGCCCTAGTAACGGCCAACGAGGGATTGCCTGCTATGGCTCCACATCCGTCTGTGATAGACACACGGTCCACACCAGTGTTTCTAAAGGCACCCACAACGGCAACTGCGAGGCCCCTCGCCCCACCTCCAAGGGACCCCCACCAGCGCGTCTTAAGGGCCTACATCGGCGGCTCTGAGAGTCCCCACACCGACGCCTCTGAGGGCCACGTACCAGTGACTCTGAGGGCCTCTTACCAGCCTCTGAGTGTCCTTGCCAGCCTATGACTGGCCACTTTCCACTTGCAGGCCATTTTGCAGGGCCACACACATGCCAATGATGGCCCCACCAGTGTCTCTAAGCCCTAAGACCCCGCAACGGCGCCTGTGAGGACCCAACACCAGCGCATCTGACGGCCTTTCACTGGCACCTCTGAGCGCGCCACACACCGGTGACTCTGAGGAGCTCGCTCGCTTCGCTCGCTCGTAAAATACCATGTAAATTAGGCATTAGTTTACATAAGCACACTCCTCGGGCATAAATGATACTTTTGCTTGCCAATTTTCCACATTTTCTCATGCAAAGACCGTTTTAAAGAGACCCGTCTGCCAGTGAGACTGGACCCACCGTGCCTCCCTCCTCTCATCGAAAGGCCCTGGATACATCCTTGCCTGAGCTTACCCCGGGCCCCCGGGTGACTCGCGGGCCCGGGGTCAGGTGACCAGCAGGTGACCCCCTCTTGGGCGAAATTCTGGGTACGTGTCCGACATGCATCGTACAGTTGATTTGATTCATTGGTTAAACATTAAATATAAGTTATAAGCTGGATCTCTAGTCTGTGATCCCGCATCGTATCAGATATAATGACATTTCATGTCGATGTGCCTAAAAAATATGCGAATATACATGAAAAAGGAGTGCTGCTCCCGCTCCTACACATCCGGGCCAAACAGTGGCCGGCCAAACAGTGCTTCAAGCCAGTTAGCCACCCGTGGCCGGTCGGCCGGCCGGCCGGCAGTCAGTCGCTGCCCGGGGCTGATTTCTAAGGGACTTGCAAAAATGTTTATTAATGAAATGTTTTACGTAATAAATTAGATGATTAGGTATATGTACCGGCTCTGAGTCGCATTTGAGAAAAAAAAACATGCTAGCGTAAAAATATATATGTTTTGAAAATTAAGCTGGTACCGAAATAATTGTTTTACCATGCATTGACAAACCAATTGCTCAAGCTTTAAACCAACCGAAATATAGCCCCGCGGACCGTTTTTTTTTTGGGGAGGGGGGGCCCTTCGGCATGGGGGGCCCAGTTCGAAGGTCGTGCCCCCCCCCCATTCAAAAATCCTGTGTGCGCGCCTGCATATTAGTAGACTTCACAAGTCAGCGAGGGTATTGGTCTGCACACGTGCGCGTGCTTACCCTTTTTAATGACATGTTCCGATTGCTTTGGATTGCATCTTGGGTAGGTTAAAGGGACTATCCCACCTTCTAAAATGTTGTTAAAACCAGTTAAATTGTGCCCGACTTTATAGATTGGATGACCAGGAACACGGTTCTGGCATTCATTTTTCATTAAACATCTTAGGCTTCCCATATTCCAAACACAAACTTTCAAATATGTGACGTCACAGCCCAAAATTACCTCCTTCCCCAGGCCACATTACTGCCATAAAGCTGATTCTTTTTACTCTGTAGGCACCACAACAAAGTTCAGACCAAGTTTTAAGCGATTTTTCAACGAACAAACCCATTTAAATCAGAATGACTAAACGAGGTGACGTCACACTAACGGTCGCTCCATGTTGAAGATAGGGCCTTGTACAAGGCCCATTTTCAAATGAAGGGAACGAATTTCTTCAACACCAAGAGGCCGCGGGGGTTGCAACCTAGATAGATAGTGGTTTCTGAACCTCGCCGCAGACTTGGCTATCTCAACTCAAACCCCATGTTAAAGGTGGGATAGTCCCTTTAACCCTCGCCCGCACATGCCATTTTCCCATCCTAGAACGCACATGGGGGGGGGGGGTGGTTGCCACCCCCCCCCCCCGCGCCATTTCGTTCCTGTTGGAGATAGAGCTTAGCAGTAAAGACCAAAAAGATTCTTTGGGAAGAGACGAATCCAATGATACCCAGTTTCACCTTCTCAGGTCACTCATTGACCTTCCAGGTCAGGTCAAACTAAAAAATGTTGCTGTTTTGGGTCACCGTTGGATATCAAGTGCGCTGCTTATCAAATACCGATGACGATGCTGTTTTCTGGTGCCAAGCCAGCTAGAACCTCTTTGTCACACTATCCGACCAGAATTTTGCTGCTGAGGTCATTTCAGGTCAAGTTAGGTCAAGGTCAATTATATGTGTTTGTATGTCTGTGTGTGTCTATGTGTATACTGATGTGTGCACCGATTGTTTTTGGGTCCATATCACATCAAATCATGATCTGAGAAGCTTTTACCAAAAATGCAGTCAAAAAAACTTCACAAAAAGTAAATTCAGCTTGCCTAAAACGCAATTATCTTAGATGACCTAGGTTGACCTTGACCCTGACCTTGACCCCTGTACATCGTCGAACAACATGTTCCATGATAGGTGGGAGGTTAGACTGGCAAAAAAGGCCGAAATCAGGGTGTCAAAAGCTCACAAGGCCCATGGCAAACGCAAGATGTTGAGAATTGGCCATTTGGGTCATGACATGACCTGAAAAACAAGGTCATATCTCCGAAACCAAAAGTCACAGAAACTTGAAATTTTCAGTGGACATCAAGAAAGGATAGACGAGCAGCTATACGAAAAATCAGCCTTCTAGCTCTAAAAATGTTGAGTGCAGAGCAGAAAGACTGCCTGGGGGGGTGGCAACCACCCCCCCCCCCCCCATGTGCGGGCGAGGGTTAAGCCAAGGTATCGCCTTGCAGTTATGAAGCTTCCAAATGTTGACGAGGGCAGCGGTCTGCTAGTGCGCACGTGCGGACCCGTTTACCTTAGCTCGAATCCAGTAGCGGCGGGACACCTTCAATTAAGGGGGGTGGGGGGCACTGCCGACTTTTGGTCCCATTCTTTCCATGCAACGCCCATAGGGCTAGTGTTAAAATTCCCAAATCAAAGGGGGGCATGGTGCTCCGGTGCCCTCCCCGTTCCGCCGCCTATGCTCGAATCAACCTGACAATAATTATTATTTTTTTGTGAGCATGCCCTTAGCGTGTAACGCTCACGGCTTACTTTGTATCTTGTATATGGAGTTCAGAGTTTCGTGAAGTTCTGAGTAAACTTCACCGGCCATATTGCCCCTGCTACTTGCTAAATTTGATACTTTGACTTGTAGATATTTGCAGACATTTGAATCCACATTGACTCAAGGCAAACCAACCGAGCAAATGGTATATGTACAATACGGATTCTTGCGTCCGTTGGTGTTCCCAACTTCCCATCACCCACGAATAGCAACGAATGTAAGAAATAAACTTCAGCGTTAACAGGCATAGGCATGTCCTCTTTGTAATGCAATAAATAATGCAAGATGCAATAATGCAATAATGCGGCTTGCGCGTTAGCCGCCTGGCCAATGTTTTCACCAACCGGCCCTTATTTCCGGCCGCATTTTTCAATGCGATTTTTGTCACGGTCGAAATGGTGGGCGAACGCCCGATCTGGGACGATCAGCAACGCTGCCAGGAGCGTTGCTGATCGTCCCAGATCGTCCCAGTCCGGCGCTGGTGCTTATCCCACCAGCGCCGGACTGTGCAGGGAGATGTCCCAACTGATCAGGAATGACACGCTTTGTCATTTCAGCCTCACTAGCATGGCGACTGTCTGGTTCAGCTTCCCGAGAAAGAAATTTCTGACCTTTTTGCGACACTGTGGACAATCTTTGTAAAACTCTCCGTAGCTCGGTAGGTATGTACCTACTCATGACCCGAGGTCTGTTGGCGATCTTATGTCCCGCGGTCATGGACTGTTCACTGCGTTGGTGCGGCCAGAACCGTCATCCCTTTAGGGTTGAAACGATTAGGGACCGGCAAGTGTTGTCATAGGTAGAGGACAAAACTTTTTCCCGGACCCTGTACTTGCATTGAACGAAGACTTAAATGAGTGATGTCCCTGTCGGAGAGTGCGGTATGCTCGTAAAATCCTGGCTACGACCCTGATGCTACTGTGGTGCTTGCTCCGCCGCCAGGGCTGGGTGACGTGTGTGACGACGTGTCTGCGGTGGCTGCCTGCTGCCTGGTGGCCTCAACGGAGTGGCTGGTGCGCCTCCTTCCAGCGTCGGCCGTGGCCGCTCTTGTGCACACATTGTGGCACTCTCTCACAGAGCTGGATGAACTGATGACCTCGACGCCGTCAGTGCTGCAGCTGCTGGCGACGCTCAGCTGCCGGGCCGAACTGGCTGCAGACAGGTGGGTTGTTTGCAGTGGCTGCTGGCGACGCTCAGCTGCCGGGCCGAACTGGCTGCATACAGGTGGGTTGTCTGCAGTGGCTGCTGGCGACGCTCAGCTGCCGGGCCGAACTGGCTGCAGACAGGTGGGTTGTCTGCAGTGACAGACAGCTGCAGACAGGTGGATCATTTTCGTACATTGATAGCGTCGAGTCCATCGCTACGTCTGCATCTGGCCAGCCAGATATACTAGGTCGACTATTTAGTAATGGAAGTGCCTCTAGCAATTCAAAGTTTTTGCACGTGCACACATTTTTTGGTGTCATCACGTGCGCCGATCTTTTTTCTATCCAATAGTGAAGACCAAGGCCCTAAATACAAGGTTGCACGGACTAATTTCTACTTAATCTACCAGAATATAGTTTCACGGTTGAATATTTTAATAACTATTCAATCAAAACTTCTTTATTATTTTCTCGTTATCATTTATAAGCGATTTTATAAATTGACTTTCAATTTGCTTGCCTTTTACTGGCAAAATAACTTTCTAGTATTGGGTCAACATAGTTGTGTAGCAGTAGGAACCATATCTGGCAAAACCCCAATGCCTACATACAGCAGAAAAGCAGCCACCAGGTGTCGCCACAGTCGCCACTTTGTCGCCACACAGATGTCGCGCGCGTCGCCAATCGCCACACTACCGATTTCCATAAGGACGCATATGTACGGATATGTATTGGAAAGTCGCCCTTAACCCTCGCCCGCACATGCCATTTTCCCATCCTAGAACGCACATGGGGGGGTGGTAGCCACCCCCCCCCCCCGCGCCATTTCGTTCCTGTTGGAGATAGAGCTTAGCAGTAAAGACCAAAAAGATTCTTTGGGAAGAGGCGAATCCAATGATACCCAGTTTTACCTTCTCAGGTCAGTCATTGACCTTCCAGGTCAGGTCAAACTAAAAAATGTTGCTGTTTTGGGTCACCGTTGGATATCAAGTGCGCTGCTTATCAAATACCGATGACGATGCTATTTTCTGGTGCCAAGCCAGCTAGAACCTCTTTGTCACACTATCCGACCATAATTTTGCTGCTGAGGTCATTTCAGGTCAAGTTAGGTCAAGGTCAATTATATGTGTTTGTATGTCTGTGTGTGTCTGTGTGTATACTGATGTGTGCACCGATTGTTTTTGGGTCCATATCACATGAAATCATGATCTGAGAAGCTTTTACCAAAAATGCAGTCAAAAAACTTCACAAAAAGTAAATTCAGCTTGCCTAAAACGCAATTATCTTAGATGACCTAGGTTGACCTTGACCCTGACCTTGACCCCTGTACATCGTCGAACAACATGTTCCATGATAGGTGGGAGGTAAGACTGGCAAAAAAGGCCGAAATCAGGGTGTCAAAAGCTCACAAGGCCCATGGCAAACGCAAGATGTTGAGAATTGGCCATTTGGGTCATGACATGACCTGAAAAACAAGGTCATATCTCCGAAACCAAAAATCACAGAAACTTGAAATTTTCAGGGGACATCAAGAAAGGATAGACGAGCAGCTATACGAAAAATCAGCCTTCTAGCTTTAAAAATGTTGAGTGCAGAGCAGAAAGACTGCCTGGGGGGGGGGGGTGGCAACCACCCCCCCCCCATGTGCGGGCGAGGGTTAAGGATTACGCTTACATCCTTTGCTTATGAGGTCGGTGGTTGGAAATTGGGAGGGGCTCAGCTATTTTCGACGACGGATATGGCTTTATCACATGATGAGGAACATGCTGATAAGCGTTTTATGTGTCATAACAGCACATAAGTATTTTTAATCATTTTTCAAAAATAGCCGTTCTGCCGTATCTTTCAGTGCAAGGTGCCGTCGGTCATCCCCGACGTTACGTCACGCCGGGGATTGCCAGATATTCCTACTAGACTTCGACGCCCCCTGGCCCCTGGTGAAGACCAGATGTCTTTAGCTGCATTTTACTCTGAGCTATCGATGTTTTTCCATGAAGAGACCACCCAAACCTTCGGCGCACGACAAAAAAGGAGCCTGACAATGGCCAAAGTCGTGCGCCAGGGCGAGATCACCAGGGCTCAGTGGCCAAGTGTTATGGCTACACGAATAAAATAATGTAAGTTGCTATATTTTCATAAAAACAATACATATAACACAATAAATAACAGCACCCACTACTCCACATAATCGCCTCCTAGCACCACACCCTACCCTATCCCACACCTACCATCTACCCTACCCTTACACTACCCTACCCTACCCCTACACTACCCTAACCTACTCTACCCTACCCTACCCCTACCCCTACCCCTACCCTACCCTACCCCTACCCCTACCCCTACACTTCCCTACCCTACCCTACCCCTACCCTACCCTACCCTACCCTACCCTACCCTTACACTACCCTACCCTACCCTACCCTACCCTACCCTACCCTACCCTACCCTACCCTACCCTACCTTACCCATACCCTACCCTACCCTACCCTACCCTACCCCACCCTTACACTACCCTACCCTACCCTATCTCTATACACTACCCTACCCTACCCTACCCCTACCCTACCCTACCCTACCCTACCCCACCCTTACACTACCCTACCCTACCCTACCCTATCTCTATACACTACCCTACCCTACCCTACCCTACCCTACCCCTACCCTACCCCTACCCTACCCTACCCTACCCAACCCTTACACTACCCCACCCTACCCTACCCTACCCTACCCTTTCACTACCCTACCCTGCCCTACCCTTACACTACACTACCCTACCCTACCCTACCCTACCCTACCCTACCCTACCCCTACCCTACCCTACCCTACCCCTACACTACCCTACCCTACCCTACACTACCGACAGTCCAAGTTTCAGCTAAATCGGCCCAGAAACGGCTGAGATATTGCAAAAACAAATTAATTGTATTTACTGGCGAATCCCCTTGGCGAGCGGTGCCTTATGTCGGCCTTCGTTGTCAAAGGTCAACGACCTCCCGGCTCTGATGCTTTTGACTCAGTTTTGCAAGCGAACAACTGAGCCTAAAGCACGTGCACTCTGCTCGGCGCCGGTCGCGGCCCCACCACGTGCACACCGCTGAACCCACACCCTCGAAAATTTAATACGACAAATGAATGCACGCGCTCGACTTGGCATGAAAATTTCACCCACGTAGCCCTTACCGTTCCCGAGCAATAGCCTGTTTTTGCCGATTCTAATGCTAACCCTATGGGCTATGGCGCACATGAGCACGCGCCACGGGCGCACCCCCGGCCGCATCGTGCCCAAAGTTTAATATGACCTGTTCAATTACGTGACCCACGAGTGGCAAAAATTTCACCCTCCTGCGTCCATCGACGCGGGCGCCGCAATAAGCGTTTTTGGGAGTAACCCCGACGGCGGCGGCGTGGGCGGCGGCAGACTTTTTAAGGTTTATAATAGTAGACTAGATGTACAGGTTTACGCGATAACTGTATGTTTTGATACGTATTTAACGGATGCATTAGTTTGGGTGTAGAAACTTGCATTTTTATTGGTATTTTTTGTGTAGAACTGGGTAACTGCTTTTAATTGAACTGTAAAGTATGATGGTGATGCATGCGAGTTGTTCGAGCCCTTTGTAAGTTAGGATGTTACTCAATTTAACCCTACCCTACCCTACCCCTACCCTACCCTACCCCTACCCAACCCTACCTTACCCTACCCCTACCCTTCCCTACTCTACCCTACCCTACCCTACCCTACTACCCTACTCTACCCTACCCTACCCTACCCTACCCTACCCTACCCTACCCTACTTCCCTACCCTACTCTGCCCTACCCTACCCTACCCTACCCTACCCTACCCTACTACCCTACCCTACCCTACCCTACCCTACTACCCTAACCTACCCTACTACCCTACCCTACCCTACCTAACTACCCTACAACCCTACTGTTGTAACTTAGAGTTCGTTTAGTTTAATTCCTGTATTCGAGTGCCTTACATATTCAAGACCAAATTATAACACCACTCAGTTTGTGCCGAGAGAACGTTCAAATTTCCTCAGATAAAATATCGCGTTCTCGGCACGTACAGTTAAAACACGGATACCTCTTATGAGGTTAGTGACCTCTGACATAAAAGGTCAGTGACCAACACAACAACTCACACCCCCTAAAATGTGACCCCACTCCGCTTGTGACCTTTATGGTTCCCCTGCTTGAAAACGGAGAGGCCTGCGTACTTCTCGGCCACTTCTAGTGAATATCCTCGTTCGGCCAGAGTATGTAGTAACATCCTGGCCAGAGGACGTGTTTCCATCGCTGTGTCCATCTTCTGCTGTATCTTTCCCTTCTGTGCTCCTTTCAGCGTCATTTGAATGTTCAACAGATGACCCGGCTCCCGAGAGCGTCGTGCCCGTATCAGGGACCCTGTCGTCATCAGTTGGGTTGCTCGTGCTGACCTCTTGTGGTCGCGGTTCACCTGGAACCGATTGTCGTGTCACTGGGCGGGAGGACATCTCGGTTACTCGCTGACGAAGCGGTGAATTGTTCCTCCTTGACTCCGTTTCAGTTCCAAGCATTCGTGTCTCGGATGAGCCTGCTCGTGGATCGGCTGCTCTCGAGGCTGGCTTGCTGGCATGTCCCAGCGGAAGCAGCTGTCCTGCGTGACGGGACCATGTCAGTCCGTCTACTGCCACCTGATAGGACACTGGTCCTGTTCGGCCAATAACATGGCCCTCCTTCCATTTTGGTCCGCCTGCATAGTTGCGTACCAGCACCTTGTCTCCAGACTGGTATTCTGGAAATCTTTTGCTGCCGTTTTCCATCTGTTTCGCCTGTGCATTTAGCACCTTGTCGGCGGGCCTTGGCTTCAGCAGGTCGAGTTTGGTACGCATCACTCTCCCCATCATAGCTTCTGCCGGGGCGACTCCAGTGGTGCTGTGCTGGGTGTTTCGGTACATCATCAGGAACGATGACAGCTGTAGTTCCAGCGGACGGTCATCTCCGCTCAGAAGACATGCTTTGAGCTTCTGC